ATGATCAAGCTACAATCCAGTCCCTAAATTCCTTCTGTCCCAGTGCCAACTTTCTCAGTTATAAGCCACATACCTTTGTTGTGAAAGCAAGTTTTCTGTTGTTGATCAGAGAAGGGATTTTGTTAAAAAAAATTAACTACAGCTCTTTTCATGGGCAGTTAAGGAGTTCTTTCAGTTGAATAACACTTCTACTGTTTTTCAGGCCAGTAGACTGCAGAAGCATGTTGTGGAAATGCAATCTGAGTATAAGACAATCACCCAGAGCTATCAGCAAGTCACTGAGACACTGTAGCTTCCACTGTGTCCATAGCTTATTACCCAGAGACCACTGGTAATACAGTGAACTGTGTATATAATAGAGGAAACAGAAAGAAGTACTACATTTCCTTCATGTTCCCTCCATTTCAAGGCATGGCTGACTTCCCTTGGTTCCTAAATGGAATCCAGGCACAGAATATAGAACATTTCAGTCTACTGAAAAAGAGCAGTCTTATGTTTCTAGGTACCCCTGAGGGTTTTGCTACTTATGGGGGATTTTTTTGTATGTTACGTTTTTATAAGTCCTTGATTCAAAGTGACCAAACTGAATGTCTTCCTACACTTGCCTATAGAAGTGCATATACAATTACTGACCTCATATGCCTCCTTCCTCTTTATGTACTGGATACTCAATTGTAATCCCTTAAAATTAATCACTACCTTAACTAACATCCTCTAAAAGACATGCAAAAAACATAACTGTAGGCTCATATACCTTGTGCAGCCAGCGAAGAAAATGTCTAGTCTGATTTTCTGTGCAGTTTCAAAGTGGCTGGAACAAGGACTTGCCTTCCCCTGTTTATGAAAACAACATTTCACAGCACATGAGATAATACATTTTATCTTTGCTGCTGTTTAAAGCAGCACAGTGAACTCAAAGAATTCCTCATCTTTTCCACCTTAGGGTTAGTCCTGCAGTACTCAGCCACTGAATCCCACTGTTAACAGCTGACCAGTACTGAGAAACTTGCACAAGAGGAGAGGGGGAGAAAAAACATGTTACTCAGATTTCTAGGAATTTGGTTCAGTCACTGAGCTAGTTTTGCAGTAACAGCAGTAAGAGAGCAGGGAGGCCTCAAGAACATCGTACAAGCAAGAAGCTGACAGTAGAGAGGCTGAGGATAGAGGGATCAAACCTATTCTGTCTCTGTTCTGAACTGTGCTGCTTGCACTAGATTCAGGTATTAGGTTTGGGGTTTTTCAATAAAGATTAAGCAAAAAACAAGTTGGCGAAGATAGGGTTAAATTAATTTTGGGTCAAAATATGTAGAGGTTATTCAATAAACTTCCTTGTAATTTTTAAGACTGATGGACACTTACAAGGCATAGCAGTTCCCAGATACCTTCACAGTTATTTGCCTCACCCAGCTGGTAACCACACATAAACCAGAACATTTCTACTGCTTGGACTACCAGATTTTTAGACAGTAACAAATGCCCAAAGCACACAGGTCACAGTTAGACTACACAGTTTGAGAAAAAAGGTGCTGTGCTAACAGTGATATCCTTCCCCAGCAATCTTGTGATCAGTATTTGGAACAATACTCAGAGAAATACACACCACTATCAGCTCACCAAGCACACTGCATTGAATCCAGAAAACTCAAATGCCCAAACCCTCCCACCTTTCTTTCAAAGAAACCCACAACACAACCCCACTAACCCTGCTTCAACAGCTGCTCTTTGTAACTCCCTGCTCACCCAACCCAAGCTGCTCCTTGTGCAGCTATTACACAGCTGAGCACACTTAGCTGAATGAATCTTGCTGGACATCCCCCCACAGCTAGCTGATGGTCCTCTACCCTTCTTGGTCTTACAGCTCCTTTCTACCAGCTCCTAAGACTGCCTAGGTAGGAGTTCAGAGGCTTTCCTTGGCTTTTGGCTCAAGGAAGACTTACCTACCTATGTCAATCAGACATAAACCCCACAAATGTTCACCTTTAATTTGATAGGTTGGGAGCAGTTCCTCAGAATGATTGCCATGAGAATTTGTCTAGAGCAGTCTTACCACTGGTGAAAACTATGACAATAGACATACATACTTACTTGTAAGCCCTGAAGCCCTAGCATCTGTGTTTGCCCACACAGGGCTTACCACAGCTCGGCCAGAAGGGCTGGTTTGTTCAGCTATTGGTAAACAGCTGTGGCATAATTCAAGTCCATGTCTAGTAGAACTAGCAGTGAGATAAACTACATATTTACAAGGCAGCCCCACTTGTCACTGAAAGCTGTGCAGGTACTAATGCTCATACAGGCTTCAGAATCCCTGAATTGTTTATCTTCTTCTCTTTTTTCTTAATTTATTTACTCTCTTTTATAATTCCATTTGCTCTTGCTGGTTCCAGTTACCATATTTGTAAGATCAGATCCCTTCTGCAGCTTTACTTCCTGAAAGCTTCATCCCCTTTCTGTTACTCTTTAAGATTATTTGGATACAGAATGTATTCTGAATATTAACTGTCCACAGTCATGTCAATTAAAAGTAGATAAATAAAGGCTTAGAATGATTATATAGGATTCCCACTGTACCCTGCATGTATTTCCCTCTCTCTCTGGAAACTGCTTCTAGAATACATTTTGTTGCTACTACTTGTTGCATGGATTCAGTGTCCTGTATCGTTTTACTATCTCTCATTTATCTCTCCTTAGCCTCTGTTACACCGACTACACTACATGACACTGTACGATTGTATCAATGGTGATGCTCTTTCCCCTACTCATGAAAAGCCTTTGAATTCAGAAAATAGTCAATTTCTTACTTCTGCTTTTTGGATATGAAGATAGTACTCTCATAGAGACTTCTTTAGATATAGCTCTCTAAGAAGAGGAAAATATGTAACTTGTTTTGGACTATTAACCACATTAAACCACATTAATAGAGTTAATCTGAATCAGTTCCTCATTTGGACCATATCTTACCCTGCTTTGGTTTTGCTGCATTTATTCCCTTCTGGTAAAATGGGAAATTTCTGATCAACATCTTGTATCACTGTTTCACTTTCCTTTCTTACTCTATTATCTCCCTTGCTTCAATCCATCACTCTTATTCCCCAGGAGCAAATCAAATGATACAGTAATGTTTTGTCTGCTTTCATTTTATTTCTAGGAAAAGCATCAACCTGTCATGAAAAATAATCCATTACTCATCTTTTCAGCTGATGATAGATAGTTTCTCCTGTATAATCGACCCAAGTGCTCCTCAGAAGGTTTTCTTGTCAGAGCTGCTTTGCCAAGCTGATGTCTTGGTTTTGCTGGCAAAGAGCAGACAAACATTTATACACTTTTTCAGGGTTTTTTTCCATCCTGTTCACCATGCAGTACTATCTAGCTAGCTTCATTTTGTTTTGGACAGTGTAGGCTAACTACCCTCAGGCAGAACAATAAACAGTTTATATTTCATGGTGTCATCTGGATAGCTCCTTCCTCACTGCCCACACACTGAATACCTGCAGTACTCTGAGAGATTTCCAGTGCTGCATTCTATGGCTGGCACAATTAAACAATGGTTCCATTTCTTCACTGTTTGGATTTGCTGGGTTTGTTCTGCTTTTGCTTCCCTGACTGCTGATAACCCGCTGCGACTATCCCTTGTGCCACTAAGCTATTTCCCAGGCTGCTGGAGGAGAGGCTATTAGAAATGTGTTAAGCAGCCACATCAGCTCAGTTATTTCCTTTTGCTAATGTGGGGTGTTTTTTTAATGTGCTCTGACAACTGGATAGAGTCTATGTGCTCTAACTGCTACAACTTCTGACATTCTTCAAAGACAATGAAAAGGGTAAATTACAGGATGCTAGAAGAGGACTCCTGAGATTTTGAGTGCTTAACCACAGACACAAAACACAGTCACTTCCAACTAGCTTTTTACAGGTGTTTCCCCATGTGCCATAGGGGACCTTCCCACCATGTCAATGGCATCCCTAGGAAAAGGTACAGGATAGCCCTCTGCAGTGCCTAGGCTGGAGGAAATACCTTCTCTCTGCAGGGAATCACAGGGAAGTGGAAAGCAGTTGTGTATGCTAGCTTGAAGTTGTCACAATAAAGAAACTCATTTCAAAGCCTGCAGTTTCATACATTATTTTACAGAATGAGAGTTGGAAATGTGCTCAGCTACAGAAAACAGAACAAAGACAGGGAGAGGCGAGAGCTCTCAGATTCTATGGTAAGAGAAGGATAGAAGGTACAGTTTATATTGCAGCAAATTTATCTGAGGATATTAAGCAATTTGGAATTTGGCGGAAATTCAGTCTGGTTTTTTGTTATAAATTGCGGATAGCTCACAAGCAGGGAAGACACAAAACACTCAATATGAGGTTCTGCAAAAGCCTTCAAACTTTATTTTTTGCCAGGGTTCTTTTCTACACTTTTCCATAATGTATGCCTGTTTGTCAGATTCTAATTGGTTAACAGCCTACAACAATGTTGGCCTGCTCCTCCCAGGAGTGGTCCCTTCTGCGTCTGTTTTTAGCCACAGCTTGTTTTGCTCATCCTAATGTTGCATCAAGGTCGCCGTGTCCTTGTCTGTGATTGGTTGCTGTTTCCCGCCTTTACTGCTCCTGTTTGGGATGGTGGGTGTCTCCCTGCTGACACAGCACCTCCATAGAAGTGAAGTCTTGATCTGTTAGCCATTCTCCAGCAATGAATGATGCAGAAATGCAAAAGAAACAAGGAGGTCTGGTCATGGGTTGGGAAGTGAAACTCTTGCTAAGAAAAAGATTATCCCCATGTGGTATGTACTCTGACTTGGACTGAAAACTCCAAGAGTCAGAATACTTGTCTGAAAAACCATGTTCTGCCACTTTGGTGTGCTGGTGTCCATCTATTTCCAGTATCATAACTTGGAATTTCTTCAGGGTTGAACTGTCACTGACTGCAGAGTTGCTGTGATTTGTTTTCTGTGACAGGCGGGGGTCAGAGCACCATGTGGAAAGCAAAAGGCACAAACCTTTGCTGATTCTGTTGTCTCACAGATTTCATTCTGCTACAGCTGGTGGCTGAGCATTTGTGCCTGGGATGGCGGAGGATCAGGAGCTGACTCAGCCACACAAAGCTCAACTGGAGCCCTCCCTTCAGCAGCGCACCAGCAACACATACCGCAGTGCAGAGCACTCCCAGGCCTTGCTCAGTGGTTTGGTGTCTCTCCGAGACAGCAGCATCCTCTTCGATGTAGTTCTCGTAGTGGAAGAGAAACCTATTGAGGCTCATCGCATACTTCTGGCTGCATCCTGTGACTATTTCAGGTACACTTCAGTACAGCAGTAAACAAGCATGTGTCTGAATGTTACTCAAACCTGGAACATCCAAATCTTCTGTCTTGGCACTCTGCTTATGGATGTAAAATCAGACCCATAAGATGGAGCTGAATTTGTTTTGCAATACTAACTGTGGCTTTATTCATCTCTCTGTTATTTCTCTACAGAAATAAAGCTCTGGTTCCTGCACACTGAGCTTACCTCCACTAAATTCACTGCCTGTGGTACTTGGAGGTTTATAAAGAGGAGAGACTATCTGAACAGATGTCTTCTGCATAAATGCACTCTAAGTGGTTTTTAACATATTCTTAGCATTGTAAGATTTTGCCCATTGTGGTGATCGTTTCATAATACACCAAAAGTCACTGGAAGTGGGTCACTCCTCTGTTATGTGCCTATAGTGTGACTCACTGTCCATTAAACCAGGCATTCCCTGGTCAGTTCGACTAGCAGTTTCTTGAACTGACTTTATTTTCATACAGCAAACAAACAAATCCCAAGGCAATCCTAACTTCCTCTAGTCCCAAGTTCCTCTGTTTTTCCTCTTCCCCCCACACCCAGAGCCTGTCCATATGTACTGGGTCTGTGTTTAAGTCCTTCAGCTGTGCACTGTACCTTTTAGATGGCCCCTGCTGTTTTCCTACAGAATGAAGAGTTAGTTTCTCAGGTCCTAAAGGGCTTTACTCTTTGTATCATTAGCTTAGAGAAGAGGTAATCCTATAAAAGTGTCTAGCTAGGTTTTTATCTTTCTGAATATTTTTATGTTCCCAGGACAATATAAGATAAGCAAACTGAAAATAGATTCACTGCAAATCTGCCATAGCATGTGCCATTGTCTTTTTTACAGAGGAATGTTTGCAGGAGGGCTGAGAGAGATGGAACAAGAAGAAGTTCATATTCATGGCATCTCCTACAATGCAATGTGTAAAATCTTGAACTTCATTTACACTTCTGAGCTGGAACTCAGTGTGAACAGTGTACAGGAAACCTTAGCTGCAGCCTGTCAGCTTCAGGTGAGGTACTGGGAGATGTGACAAAAAAGAACCAAGAAACAAAAGCAATAGTGAAAGAAACAGAAAACATGGATATCTGGTTAGATGGAGGGTTAGAGGGTGAATAGGAACATAGGTCTGATAAGAAGGATTTCTGGGATGCTGTATCCACTGGAACTAAGGAAGGGTAGGAACAACGATGAGTACTTGCACATCTCATTTATGCTAGTGGTTTCATTACTTATAAACATTTACTGTTTCATCTAGAGGACCATTTTATATAGCATTCCCTTCCACTGATCTGCTTATCAGCTTCCCTGAAACAATACCTCTGGCCTGTGGTAAAGGACAGGGTTTGGTGCTCAGAATTGTTGTGCTGCTCAAGGTCTTCCCCTGATTGAGTCCACAGGCACATAACCTCTCCTGACCCCATCACTAGAGGAAATCCTACCACTGGTCTCTGCACTAAGTGCAGAGTTCACGTGCCTTTAAGACAAGGGTTTTTTTCTAAATTTCCTTGCAGCTAACTGCTGCACGAGTCTTTGGTGCCAAATCTTAAACTTTGTGAGTGCTTGCTTTGGTTGTTTTCATACACTTAACACCACTTTGTTAGCAGAGGGGCTCTTGGACAGCAGTTCTCTGTTTGCCTGTAGTTCCTCTGCCAGATACAACTTGTAGTCAGAAAAACAATACTAAGTACTCATTTTCCTTTCCAATGACTTCCTGTGCTCTTGAGTGATATATTTGCTACAGATACAATCTTTGATATAGTATGTCTGTAGTGCTCTGAAAGAACAAATACAGAGTGACTGTAAACCTGACTTGCACCATGTCCTCTGTGCCTTCTGTTTTCTTGACTGCCCCTAGGCAGCTGCAGCTTGGTGCCATGCTAACAGAGCAGGCAGCCTGGCTGCCCAGTGTCCCATGTGTCCTGGAAGACACATTGCTGCTGCACCTGAAGCCAAATAGACTTGCAGTATAGTGTGGCTAGAAGATCTATATTATATTCATCTACATAGCCATGTTGAGTTCTGTTTCTCTGGAGAAAGGTAAACAGGGCACAAGTGAACATGGTGATCAGACTGTGAGGAGAGCAGTCAACTTGTGGATGATTTTCTTAGTTATCCCAGGCTTCTGTCTGCTGTCTCTCAAGTGTGAGGCAGGTGGTGTAAGAAATGAAAAATCTCTGTCTCTTACAGATTCCAGAAGTCATTAAGTTCTGTTGTGATTTCCTCATGTCCTGGGTAGATGAAGAGAACATCCTCGATGTGTACAGACTAGCTGACCACTATGACTTGAGACATTTGAGTGACCAGCTGGACTCCTACATTTTGAAAAATTTTACAGCTTTCTCAAGGACACAAGTGTACCGACAGCTACCCTTGCAGAAAGTCTACTCCCTTCTCAGCAGCAACCGTTTGGAGGTTAACTATGAGTTTGAAGTTTATGATGGAGCACTTTTTTATCATTATTCTCCAGAGCAACTGGAGACAGATCAGGTCTCCCTGATGGAGCCTCTTAAGCTACTTGAGACAGTTCGTTTTCCTTTGATGGAACCCCAGATCCTGCAAAGGCTTCATGATAAACTAAGTCCATGTCCTTTAAAAGACACAGTTGCAGATGCATTAATGTACCACAAGAATGAATGTCTTCAGCCAATGCTTCAGAGCGCCCAGACACAGCTGAGATCAGAGTTTCAGTGTGTAGTGGGATTTGGAGGGATGCATTCTACTCCATCCATTGTTCTCAGTGATCAAGCCAAATATCTGAACCCTTTGTTGGGAGAGTGGAGGCACTTTACAGCTGCACTAGCCCCCAGAATGTCCAACCAGGGGATTGCTGTTCTCAATAATTTTGTATATTTAATTGGTGGAGACAACAATGTAAGTGGTTTTCGAGCAGAGTCAAGGTGTTGGAGGTAAGATAAGGATAATCCTGCTATTATTTATATTGCCACCCTGTTGCCATTTCTGATTCAGTAAGCCAGTAGTGCAGTCAGTACACTTGCTAGCCAAAAGATTAGGAACTGAGCAGGAGCTTCACTGAAAGGAGACATAAGAAATAAATAAATGAGCCTTATAGTAACAGGAAGCTTCCAGCAGTGCCTATGGGACAAAGCCAAGCATGACAGGGTAGAAATAGCTGCTCATTCAAGAGTATTACATGTGCTGCTTTCTGCCTCGTTGGAGGAGGGAAGTATTAAAGGTGTGAGGAGCAGTAATGAACCTAGAACCCTACATTGTCTAGATCCTCTGGAACTAGAATTTTCTGGACATCCTCTGTGTGTAGTTTTGGTCGCAATACAAATGGATTTAGCTCGCAAAATGGGGTTTTAAATAAAATGCTATTACCAATAGATTTTCAAGAATCCTTTGGCACAATGGCAACACTCCAGGGTCCTTTTGTATTATTTTGTGACAGGAAAAGAGCAGCAAGAAGGATCAGGTTTAAAGACCTTTGTGCCCATTACATTTCAAAAACCAGAGATTTTAATTATTTTTTTGGTCTTTATATTGTGGTCATTTTGACTAGTTTTAGCTGAGTTGCTCTTATTTCATGGCATGCATAGTTTCACTTCACATCCAGTTTTCTCTGTAACTAAAATTTTCAGATGAGATAGATAGTTTGATCTGAAAGCAAATCATGAGATTCACTTTGAGCAGCAGATATTTTGGGAAGAGAATCAAAGAACCCATGACACATTTATGCCCTTCTTTTACTCTTGAAGATCCAAATTCAGTCTTTGTGCTATTTTTAGACTGTTTTACTTTGTAGAATGGTTTTGTGCAAACAGGTTTTGATACGTAACCTGACAGCAGTATATAAGATAATGGAAAACCTAGGCTTTTATGGCATGATTATGTCAGCTAAAATACATCTTCTAAAAATAGAATAAAACAACTTTGCTAATAATAAAATGCTGAGAAGGCTAAATTTCACTTCACTTACAGCTAAGCTAAATTTCAGCCAAAGACAGTGCAGTAACCCATATCTTTGGTGCTGTCTGGTATTCCAGCAATGACTCTGTGGCTGTGTGAATAACTTTGATCCCATTCTTTTATGAGGTATGACCCACGACACAACAGATGGTTCCAGATCCAGTCCCTACAGCAAGAGCATGCTGACCTCAGTGTTTGTGTTGTGGACAACTATATATATGCGGTCGCAGGCCGAGATTACCATGAAGACCTGAGGGAAGTGGAGAGGTATGACCCTAAAAGCAACACTTGGGAATATGTGGCACCTCTGAAGAAGGAGGTAAGGAGGGCATTAGCTACACACACTACTACAGTTCCCCAGTCCCTGATTCAATCTTTTTAGATGTTTTTCTCATGTGTAACTGATAATTCAGATGGAAAACAGTAGCCTCTGTGTATGGGATGAGTAACAAGAAAATAAAACAATAATATATGTAAACTACACTTGCATGTTAAATGCTTATTTTTCCTGTTGTTGTTTTCCTCTGCACCTTTATTGTGTTAATGGGTTAAACCATTCAAAGTTGAATGTGAATAAAAATTGAACACACAGCCTCTGGGAACAGGAAGTTCCCATTACTTCTAGGCAGGTGAACTGAGTCACAGTAGTTCAAGCTTCTTGCTTACAGTCCTGACAACATGCTTTACTCCTAATCAGAAGAAGGAACATCACTTTCTATAGCGTTTTTAGTTCCTGGGCAGAAAACTGACATTGGGTTACAAGTTCTGCTACAAGAATTTGTATGATCCAGAATCACATCTCAGCCAGCTAACATAAGACCATCACTCATTTGAGATATGTGAGTGAATAACTATGTTTCGTCATCAGTACCATTTGTTCTTCTAGACCAGCAATTGCCAAACTAGCAGTGCTGACCCCAGGAGCACAGGAAATGGTTTAGTGACCTGGAAATTGCGGTTATGCATGAAAAAGTTTGCTCTAAATTCTAATACTGCTAAAAAAGGCAAGACTTTCCATTTCCAGGTTAAAAGTGCTGCAAAGGAGGAAGATAAATACAGACAACTGCTTGATGAATCTTGGTTAGTGACGAAAACTAAAATCCTGAACAGTCTTTCAAGAAACTATGCTGATTTTTACTACACTTTTTTTAAGTTTTGGGCCAAGTGACCAGCACAAAATAATATTTGTGATTTCATAATTTGTCTCAAGTGAGAATCTCAGGACATCTTAAAAATATAAATATTACTGCATTTTACAACAGGGATGCTGAAGCAGAAGAGGATAAACAGCTTGCACAAGGTCACAGATAATAAATGTGTGTCAGTGCTGAAAATATAAAAAGCCTGAAGATTCAGCTGAGTGCTACTAAGTAGAATAACTTGCATTCCTGATAGCACTGCTTGTATAAGAAAAATCTCCAACAGAAAGGCTTCCAAGTAGACTAGGCAGAACAGTTACAGGATGAATGATCTTCTAATCAAGGAACAGTAAAGAATGAGAACACTGAAGTTCTGTAAGTTTCAGAAATTCTAGTGTATTTCATTCAGAAATTCTCTCTTACAATCACTTAGAAAAACTTGTCTATAAGAAAATGCTTTCAGATTTTGATCTCGGCATAACTCATGAAGAATGTTATTCCCTTAATGCCCATTCCATACTTTGAAACTGTGGGAAATAAATCAACCTCAACCTCTTGCTTTCCCGTGTGGTGATGCAGGTGTACGCCCATGCAGGAGCAGCACTGGATGGGAAGATGTATATCACCTGTGGGAGGAGAGGAGAAGACTATTTGAAGGAACTCCAGTGTTATGACCCAAAGACTGACAGCTGGGATGTCTTAGCAGATGGCCCAGTGAGACGTGCTTGGCACGGGATGGCTGCACTGCTGGGAAAGCTCTACGTGATTGGAGGAAGCAACAATGATTCTGGCTACAGAAGGGATGTTCACCAGGTGGGAGCATGTCATACCTCTGTCTGTGTTGGTAGTGTTTCTTCTGCATGTTTGCACTCTGATGTAATGTCTTTCTCCTACTAAGGATGCAGATAAAACAGTCTGCCCAGCTATGGCTCCTGCACCAGCTCTCCCCCATTCACTCGCAGAACTTGTTGTCTGTCTTGAACACATTGTCTCACCCACAAAGCATTAAAGCACTTTGAATTCTTACCAATGTTAAAACACCTTTGATGGATAACATTCATTGGCATGCAAATACCCAGTAAGTAGCACATTAGCTAAATGGACTTTCTGTTGTCTTCTCACATGCATTTTTTCTAAGTTGAGGACTTTTGAATTACCAATGTGTAACTGTAGGACTGAGCTGTTAAGGATATGTTGAATGGTAATTACATAATGCAATTAAATGTACAGTACCTGATGATAAGTGGTGTCTGGGAGAGAATTCTCTTGAATCTTATTCCAGCTTCTAGAACTGCTAGAGACTTGAAAAGAAGACACACAAAATAACTGCTCTTCTACAGCCAATGGAGATGGCAGGATTAAATCTAGCTGAAGAGTGTATCTGAATGATAAACAGGTGCTTACAAAAGAAAGCAGTTAGCCAAGTAGGTACCCAATGAAGTCTGAACCTCTCCAACATATGGTGCAGAGACAGCTTAGCAGATCTGTCATATTTGTATGTTCCAGCATCTTTTTTTCAGGTGCATTATGTCTGGGTACATGTTCCCATCTCTTCACTTTTGTGTGAATTTTTTGGATGACATACAGCTGTTACTCCAGCAGCAGGGTCAGAACTTGTGATTCAAAGCTATGTGGCAACTATGCACAATTTTCTGCTGAGTGCTGCACTTCTACTACATAGTGATATGCTCTCTCCATTAGCAACACATTGTCAAAAGACTGGTAATATTCCTTCCTAAACAGTTTGCCATATGGCCAGGCTCTATCACTAGGATACAAGTTCAGTTTTGGCTAATTTCTTTCTGGTTTGTTGACAGGTTGCCTGCTATAAGCCAAGCACTGATCAGTGGACAAACGTATGTCCACTTCCTGCAGGACATGGAGAGCCAGGCATTGCAGTCTTAGACAACAGGATTTATGTCTTGGGAGGAAGATCCCACAACAGAGGAATCCGTATGGACTATGTCCACATTTACGATGCAGAGAGAGACTGTTGGGAGGAAGGACCTCAGCTGGAGGATGATATTTCTGGGATGGCTGCCTGTGTCCTCACTTTGCCCAGGGCTATTTTAATGGAAACAGAGAAATGGCTCTCAGAATGGCATGCAGACCGAATGAAGCATCATCTTGACTTTCCATCAGAAGTTATGAGCGTATCAGACTGGGAGGAATTTGACAATTCCAGTGAAGATTAGAAAACTTTAATATTTATTTTTTTGCCAGTGGATGAAGAAATGAAGGCTTGGAGAAAATACTTAAAAGATTTTATATGTCTTTCTTATATACATAAATCAGTATTTAAAGGTTTGAAAAATCAGTGTTCTGCACAAAATGCCATTCACAGTCAATATCTACCCATCTGCAAGTGTTCTGCACAAAATGCACTTAACAGTCAGTATCTGCCCATCTGCCAGAAAACAGCATTTTTAAAGTAACTACAGAATTGCCATTTACCCCCAGTTAAAGTATAGAGGTTTTGAAAAAGGCTTTTCTCAACCTTCAGCATGGACAGAAAAAAAGGCACAGAAGGCTCAGCTTGACTAGCTTCTTTCCTTCCAGCTTTTAGCTTGAAACAGCTTTTTAAGATTTTTTTTTCTTTTCTTTTTGGTAATAAAACTTCGAAGCCAGCTTAGCACAGGAAGGTAACACCTAGTGTCTCCCTCCTGTGCCAGGTCTCAGACAGCTTGATTGGTTTTTCAGCAAGTTTGAACATAGAGAAACACGAACAGTAGCAAGAAAGTCTGAACCTTCATCTCATCTGGGCATGCAGCCATCTTTGCAACTGAGTGAGAGTCTGTGAACTGACACCCACTCCTGAACTTCTATACTGCAAGTTCTGTCAGCACAGTGGAAAGAAGATTTCTAGAAAAACCTCTCTGTACAGACTATGGCAATCTCATCGTTCCACTGTCAGGCACATTTGTTCTCAAGCATAAATTAATAAATCCCTGTCAGAACTTTTTAAACTGCTGTCTCAGTTTTATTAACGGTGATGTGGAGGCTGAGAGTTAGTAAGCTTAATTAGATCCTATAGTACTACATTAGTATCAGCAAAGTTACACCAGCTTGGGAGATGAGCAATTTTTTCATTCTTCTATTATATGCTCTAGAAGAGGATAAAGAGAACAGCAATTGGTTTGACACAGCAAAAGAAAAAATAATGAGATAACAAGAAGTATTGAAGATTACACTAGTCCAAGACTGCAGTAGCTGAACTAATGCCAGGAACTACAGCTGAGAAAGATAAGGCATGGTAAATCCTTCCTTCACGAGGCCTTAAAATTGTTGGTTCCTGACTACCACCTTGCTTAGCATTAGTTTAGAAGCTGATTTAAAGTCAGAACCAGTGTGATACCTGAATAGGATGAGGTCCTTCCTCTTGGAGGGGTGGGAAGTAATCAGTGCCACCAGAAAATCATGACAAACACTCAAAAGGTTTTAAATCTCATAGCAATAATGGAGTTGCAGCAGGGCAAAACCAAAGTGACAATCAGAATGATACGGTACTAGTTAAGTGTCATCACAACATGACAAGTACTGCACGTTGACATGCTACTTCAGAGAAAGGGAGTAAATTCCTGGATAATCCCATTACTTGGGGATATTCTGTTTCTGGAAACAAAGATGATTTCAAAATGGACCTAGATGAATGTACATTAGTAGACTAGGCTTCTGGAAAAAGATTCAAGAGCATTTGCACACTTTAAATAAGCTCAACAGCTTTTGCTTGGTAGGAGGAGAATTTGTGGGATTTTATTCTCCAGCACTGTCAGTTTTCACCTCAATCACTAAACCTTTGCCAATTGGCAAATAACTGATTCATTTCTAGTGGTGCAGGTCATATTCAAGACCCAACTGTGCTAACTAACCCCAGACACCTACCTCAGTGCAGTGCATTTTCCATTCTAACTAGCACATCTGGACAGAGCAGTGATACTCTACTGTGTTATTGACATTATTTATAGAGAATGTTATTTAGCCTCTCTCACACTAAAAAAAGAATCGTTCCTTGTCTGGCTCCTCTTCCTCTGTGTACCACTAGAGGGTATTCCTTACTATTACAAATAGCCAAACTGACAGGCTAGTCCTTAGATTACATAGCAGAATATAAGACATTCATGAGTAATTAATAAGCCAAGGAAACATCTTGAGAAAGCTCATGGGGCTTTTTTCCAGCTTCTGCCCTGTTACTCCTTCTGTGTTTGAATACTGATTTTTAGATAGTCAGCTCATCTGTTGTTCCATTTCTCAGCATAAGCAATTTTGTGATTGCATTATTCATTAAATTTTGCAGTTGGATGCTGTGCAAAGCTAATCAATATAAGGCTTAGAATGCATTTACAAGGAAATTATTTTTCCTTAAAGCAGATGATCACCTGCCTTAGTGCTGCATTGTTTTTACTTAGTGGTATAGTAACCCTGTGTTACCTGTACTAAACATAAGGACAGGTATTATTTGATAGAAACAAAACTTGTGTGGCTTTCACCCCCAGAATTGTTTTACATATGAGTGTAACGTGTCAGTTGAAAGTTACAGTTCACTATCTTACTTGCATTTAGCCTGGAGAAGAGGAGGCTCAGGAATGATCTTATCAACCTCTACAACTCCCTGGAAGGAGGTTGTAGTCAGGTGGGGGTTGGTCTCTTCTCCCAGTCAACCAGCAGCAGGACAAGAGGGCACAGACTCAAGCTCTGCCAGGGGAGGTTTAGGTTGGATATTAGGAAGAGTTTTTTTACAGAGAGAGTGATCAGACATTGGAATGTGCTGCCCAGGTAGGTGGTGGATTCACCATCCCTGGAGGTTTTCAGGATGAGACTGGATGTGGCACTTAGTGCCATGGTCTGGTAACCATGGTAGGGTTGGACCTGATGATCTTGGAGGTCTTTTCCAACCCGGTTGATTCTATGATTCTATGTATTTCATTTAGGTAAAAAAACACTGAGTTTATCTTAGCTCCAAACATTCTGATCATTTAGCAGTAGCGTATTTTAGTCCATCATGTACCTTTTCAAGCTAACGCATAGGCTGAACAATAATAAAATTGCTTTGCTTTAAAACTGTCAATTTTCTCTAACTGGGGAGACAATTTACTACAATTACCTATATAAACAAATTGCAGGAGAGATTATAGATTGATATACAGAGCTGTAATTATTATTGATCAGTTTTCCTATCAAGAGTGATGCTTAAGGAACTGAGCCTTCAAGAACCCACTTATGCTTTTTGTTCCCTCAAGAACAACATGTACTCATAGGGATTTTCAGCTGGTTCCATATTTTTTAATTTATAAATTCTCTGGTGTCCTAAATATGTCAATCTTGTATCTGGCAGTAAAAAGCTTAATTTTTTTACAGTAAGCCCTCTAAGACAGTAACACAAGACATTGTGGACAGATGGACTATGAACTGAGAAAGCTTTAAGTTGTTGCTGGTCTGTAAGAGAACAAGCAAACAGCTCTTCCAGAACTGAGTGATCAAAATACCAACACTTAAACTGCTGATACATTAGGAAGTCCAGAAGAATAAGAACTTGATCTTGATGATCTATTCTCCTATTTCCTGCCAACACAGAGGTAAAGCTGTATAGGCATATTTGCCAGATTAGTAATTACTGGACTTGTATTGTGAAGTATTTCAGGCTTCCACATTTGCAGAAGTGATTGTGATTGCTTCAGTTTTTGTTTCATAATGCTTTCACTACTGTATTTCTTCTCCAGCTGTCTACCTCCAAATCCAGCACATCCTTTCCCATTTCCTCACAGTTTAAATTAGGGTCGTTAATTTTGCATTGGAAGTACTTGATTTGAAACAAATAAGGATTCTCATTCTAAACCTTTGACAGAAATTTACTTCTTACTCAGAGGTCAGCCACATGAACAAATTATTTGGCATTCAGCCCAATTGATGGGGTCAGAAGCTTCTGGTGAAAGGAAGAAGGAGCAGCTGGCCACAGGGAAAG